CCAACAGAGCCAGGAGGGGTCCAGGAGCCGTGACGCCCGTGTCGTCGCTCCAGCTCAGGATCTGAGGCGGGGTGTTTGGGTTGTCGCAGAGTTCCAGCAGGGTGGCCAGAACGGTACAGTGGACACATCTGGGACTTGACTGAGAAACAGACACCAACCTTAGCCTCACTTTTCTTCACATTATTCTCTATGTTTTGCTTGAGGCTTTTTCAACCTTTTACTATCATTTTTTTTTACTTATTTTTTATCCATTTTCTAAATTATAAACATTCACTGACCGACTGTCTGTCCTGTCATGAATCTGTGAGTCTTTAGACCGCCGTCTGTCACCTGACCTGAGTTTGATTTCGTTTTTTTTTTTAGATAAATGGATGTGGTTGACATAACAAATACTCACAACGAGCAACTGAAGCAGAAGAAAAACTCCTTCTCGAGCCAAAAAGAAATCTTCTGTGGTGTAGCAGCCCACGATACAGGACCTGGTGAAATAAGACCGAAATTGGACAGATTCTGGAACTTTCCTTTAAAATAAAAATGATCAACGAGTTATAGCTAGGGATGTCCGATATGAACTTTTTGCCAATATCTGATATGGCGATATTGTCCAAATCCTTAATTTTTGATTTTTGTAACAACTGTACAACCTCTTAAAAGAGCTGCAATGCTGCCATCTAGTGACTTTCACTTTAATATACAGCCATTTTTCCCAAAAACTATATTTTGGGCACACCTCATTTGGCGAAACCCAGGCATTGCGTTATTGGATTTTCATTATCGCATTTTCATTAACCGATAACGATTCATACATATCGTAATATGTTATTTGCTAATATCAGTCGGACGATATAATCGGACATTCCTAGTTCTACCTCAACAAACACTGGAAGACACTGACCAAACACAGTCCACTGTGGACAGGACCAGTTTGTTGTGACCCAGACCGCTGTAGAACTTATCGCAGCCTCTCTTCAGGAAGTGGAGCGTCATGTCCACTCCCTCAGAACCAAACAGTTCCTGAGGTGGGAAATCACAGACTTTAAAACAACAGGGACCGACAGAACCACAGCAGCTGATCGGATTGACTGAAAACTAGTTTTACGAAAGTCTTGCCTTTCTGTGCATGTCGTTCTCACACAGAGCTGAAAGAGTCAGCAGGAGGTCCGACTTCATCTCCAGCGTTGCGGCGTCGTCGTCGTCAGTACTGCTTTCCATCTGCATTAAAATCCCTGGGAAAACACACCAAACACGACCAGTGTTGACATTGAACAGTTTCATTTATGGATGTCAGATATTAACGTTTTGCCGATTCTGTCCTAACACTTAATATCTGATACCGATATAGAGAGACAGCGGTGTCCTGGTGGTTAAGGAAGACAAGTGCGGCCTGCTCATCATCACTAAGGTGATGGGTTAAAACAGTGTTTTTGCTATGCCGCCCCCAAGGGGACAGGAGTTCTTTCACCATGAATTAAAATACTATTAGCACTTGCTGCCATCTAGTGGCCTTTACTTTCACATACAGCCTTTTTTTCCCCAGAACTATTTTTAAATCACACATTGCATTAACAGGTTTTCATTACTGTAGGAAAAACCGATAACGATTTACATAACTATGCTAATATCCAGCCGATAATATCGGTCGGCTGATATAATCGGACATCCCTAATTTCATTGACATAATGAAGATGTTGGAGGTTCGTTTACCCAGGAGCTGACCGATGCTGCCCTGGTCACACAGGTCCTGGTTGACGGTCTCCTCACCCACAGACGTCACAGATCTCAGGACTCGGATGCAGTGACGCATTTGAGACTTTTTGCTGCCTTTGCCTCCGCTGCCGTGGAAACTGTGTCCCTGACCAAAGAAAACATCTAAAAAAAAAAAAACAATTAAGAGAGATTCTGGACAGGAAGTTTTGGTCCTGATCCTGTTGCAGAAGATTCTGGACGTTTTCTGTAAGTTTTGGTCCTGATCCTGTTGCAGAACTTCTCGCTGCTCACCTTTCCCCGTGCACCAGTCCAGCAGGAGCAGCAGCCGTGCGTTTCCCTGGTAGGACATGTAGTCGTCCAGCATGAGCGGAGCGATGGTGGTGAGTGTGGCTAACGCCTGGAGCTGCAGGTCCTCCTGCTGGACGGAGGACCAGTGTCGTGACGTGGACCGCAGCTCGGTGGTGGATTTGGGCGGCTCTGCCAGTGTCAGCAGGGCCAGAATCACCCTCCCTTCTTTGTAAATCTGGGGGAGGAGAGGATGATGGGGACATGGGGAGGGCAAGAATTGAAAAAAAAATGGTTTAAAGTGACTAAATGTAAGCTTCTCCAAAGTACTTCTATTATATATATATATATATATATATATATATATACATATACATATATATATATAAAAGCAACAATGTAAAAAGAACTCTGCCCTCTGCTGGCTCCCCAGTGTACTGCTGAATTAGTGCTTTCTTACATATAACTGTGACTGACCTGCAGAGCTGCTAAGTCCTTCGACATCAACACCAACAGGTTCAACATCATCTTCTTCATTTTTAAATCTTCATGGTTGAAGCGAAGTTTCAGGTTCTGGACCAGAGGATCCAGAGTTTTCACTGCAACAACAGAAAAAGGAGTTTGTCTGGAGACGAGTAAAACTTTGGTAAAAAAATGATGATCCGTTCTGTGAGAGGAGTTGACTCACGTTCTGGAAATGTGATGAAAGGCATCAGCTCTTTGGCGAAGAAACTCTCCTGGAAATGGAAAATAAAAAAACATCATCAGTCATTTTGATTTTCCATTTCCGTGTTTGACTGATTTCTTTTTCTTATACTCACGACAAGTCGGGAGTTTGGATGTTCAGCGATGAGGGTTGTGATGACGAGCAGGTCGTTCCTGAGCTGGAGGTCAGATGGGTGTGAGCTGTTCAGCAGCTGGAAGAAGAACGCCTCCTTCAGAGATCTGAGGAAAAAGATCAACTTTTATAAAAAACAAGTGATACAAAATCCTTATGCCACTAGATAAAAAAAAGTAGCCAAAACAAAAGGTGCAACAAAATCCTTGTGCCACTAGATAAAAAAAAAGTAGCCAAAACAAAAGGTGCTAAAAGGCTGCTAATAAAAGATCTAAAATATAAACAGATAAGCTAACAAGTAGCTAAAATAAAGAACGTTGTCTGGTTGTCAACAAGATAACAAACGCAAAAACAATTTGATTTAGCTGAAGCTAATTTGCTAAATGTCAGGGTGATTTGTCAAAATTGTTGCCTAAATAAAAACCCTCCAATCAATGAATACAATATTTACAGAAAATGCTAAAAATGTAGATTCCATTACAAGGTCCTATTATATGAAATATAATACTCATAAAGAACAATGAAGCCCAGGTGATGCCTACATAACACACTCCATGCTGCTGAGCTGAGTGGTGACCTTGTCCTTGCAGCCTCTCTCCAGAAGGTTCCAGAGGATTTCTGCTGAGCTTAAAAGCACCTGACCCGTCGGGTCGTCCTCGTTCATGTGAAGACAGATGACCTCTGCTCCACGGGCGTTCAGCATCAAAGAGCAGTTCCTGTCTGTGGAGACGGAGGAAATCAAAACAAAAGAGATGAAGGTAAGAAGGAGTCGTTGACCTTGAGACAAGGACACTTAAAATCATCTGTTCTGACTGTGGCTCTGATTGTCATCTGGTAATGAGACCATCTAGGGCTCCTGATGTTGCGGCTACTTTATCTAATGAAGGAGGAGGTTTAGTTAAATTGACATGTTTGACAGATCGTCTCCTCCTCCTCCACCTCCTCCTCCACCTGAGTGAATCTAAAAAAGAAACCCAGTTACTGACCAGAGAATCCCGACAGCACCTTAAGTGTCTTCAGGAGCTGCAGCCTGACGCTGGGCTGGTCCTCCAGAGTGGACATGGAGAGGACCAGCGACTGTGCCATGTCACTCAGCTCCAGCAGCTGCAGCCTGTAGCCTGGAGATGTTTGCTGGAGCCCTGCAGGGGCAAAAAAAACATACTGTAGACGATCACGACCAAACACATCACAAACAAATATACAGTATCTCCTCCAGGGTACAATGCTACACACATCAACATTTTTCATCAACCTTCTGGCTGGGTAATTACTACAAACACCAAGTAGGACATTTTTTAAACACAAAAAGAAATTGAAAACTAAAACTAAAACGACAATAAGGAAGACATTTGTTTTCCTGGTGGCAACCTGTAAAAGGTATAGAAGAGGCAGTTGGCTAACTTAGATTAGCTTGTCTAAAACATCTCAACTATTACTGACAAAAGTAACCTTCATTTTTTTGTTCAAATAAAGTTAGGAAATAGAATGTATCTGATTATTTGTAAATGTCACTGCAGCTATCTTTAAACTCAGGTGGCTAACTCTTAACTTTCTCTAGCACTTCTTTTAACTTAGCAAAACTATTAGCCAAGTACTTTGCTGACTTTGAAATTTTCTTTTTCAATTTTTACTATTTGTAGTAACTAGCAGTAGAGTTTTAGCTCTGTTTTTTAAAACAAAATTTTAGCCACATTTTATCTCGCTAACCCTTTTTAGCCACCCTCAACTAAATGTTAGCTTTCATTTCTAATAGTCTAATCAGTGAACCAACAGTTCTCGTCCATCTGCCACACACTAGTAAATCAAGAAACAGCACAAGCATGCCACAGCACAGGTAATGAGAGACAGTGCCTCACTTAGCGTAAGTAAAGTAAATCTGTAAGAGGGTAAAGTCCCAGGCTTTGACTTGGAGGCTGAGTCCATACCGTCGCGGATCTGTTCGTCTACACTGCTGTATAAAGAAATGACAGATTCCAGGATCTGCTGCCTGATCTCAGCCTCTGGGACCCTCATGAGACACCCTGTGGACACACACGAAAAAACCTGACGTCAATGGAGGAAACTGGTGTCTGAGCAAATTCAGAAGTGTGGACGGAAACGTATGAAATAAAATAAAAACTCTGTACCCAAGTTGGAGATGAAGTCAATGCCTTCCTGAGCGTAGTTCAGCTCATCGGACGTTCTCTCTTTGAGGAAAGGGAGCCTGAGTGTAAACGGAAGAAAGACTTTTCAGATCATCACACGAAGAAGTAAAAAAAACCTTCACCTGTTCAAACATTTTTTCGGTCTCTTACCGACAGATTTTAACGGCTTCCAGCAGAATTTGCCAGTAGTCGGGCTGATCTTTCCCTTTGTCAGCACAGATGTTGAGGATTTTGGCTATTCCTGAGAGGTCCTTTAAGAGCTTAAAAAAAACTTGGTTAAGGACATTTTGACTAAGAGAGAAGTTTGTGTGATTCAGGCCCTAAAACCCTGACCCACCCCCTAAAACTTTAACCTCTAAACCTGGTTTTGTAAAGTTGAGGAAAAGGTTTTTTTAAAATCATGTTCCCAAATAAAAGGAAAAGAATTAAAAAGACCAAGGCCACTCGTTTTGTCATTGCCTCAGTACGAGGATGATTGAGGACAAAGAATCGCTGCGGTCATGGCCGAGTTATTTTTGAACGAGGTAAAAATGCTGACAGTGATGAGTCCGTGATGCTGCTGTAAATTAGAGCCATGGGAACGGGGTTTGGTTCCAGGAAGTTCCTGATGCGTGAGAACAACTCTATTTCCATCACTGAACCACGGTCGGTCCCTGGTCCCTGGTTGTTAAGATTATGTCAAGAATAAAATGCTAAAAATAAAAAGGATACAAAACCAATTTGGTTTCTCTTCAGCAGCTTCCACAGGACGAGCATGTGCCTCTCCTTCAGGTTAGCCTTGAGCACCAATGTAGAATCCACGTTAATTGTGCGTGCAACATGATATACAAGAGGGAGATAAATTTAGACCGTGTGTGGATGTTGAACCTACCGTCAAATGACCTTCAAGAAGACGCAGCACATTGTTGAGATCCAGAGTTTTAGATTTGCTCTGTCGAGATGAAGACATTTTTCATCAAAGTGGGAATTTCTTATGAGATTGAATGAATATTTAATTTAAATTAATAATTTACTAACACTACGCGGTTTACCTTAGATGTGCTTTGCTCCGTCTCCATTGACCTTGGCCCAACGGCAGGAAGGTCCTGTTTCTTCCTCTGTACAACTTTGGCAGAATTCATTTTCAGAGGCTGCAGAACCTCGTTGGTTCTTTTGCTTTGGTCTTTCACGACAGTTGGCATCTGTAACACCACCTCACATACTGCCACCTGCTGGTCTTTCTCATCCACCAGCAGAACTCTGCTGAAATGCAGGGAAAACACAAGTAAAAAAAAAAAAGTCAGTTGAAAGGATAAAAGCCAAAACATGTCTGAACATGATTTTGTCATTGTGTCATTTTTTAAAATGACAAGACAATGACTGAGGATGTTGGCCACCAGCTTAACAATTAAAGTTCATGAAGACATTTGCAGTAGGTACTATAAACATAAATTAGTTTGATACACTTTTTTTCAATATTTTTCAGAATCGCTACTGTGATTAAAGTTGTATATACATATTTTCAAACCCCTGTAAATAGATAAATTCATTTTTCCTTAGCAGTATAAATTTATAATATAAAAATAAAAATGTATAGTTTTACCAATGAAGTAAGAATTCTATAAAAGGACAATAATAATAATAATAATTTTAAAAAGACCGTTTACCTTCAATACATATGGGCTCTTCTTTGTTTCTTTGTCTATTCGAAAAGTGCAATTTTAAAAATCGAATATCCGTAATTTCCTTACCTTAGTTTCGCGCTTGTTGACAAACTAAAAAGTCAAACTCAATTTAAATTAAAACGTTCAAAAAGTCTTAAATTGGCCTTTGGTTGCAAAAAATTATTACAAATTAAATGTAAGTAGTTTTCTAGTCAAAAGAGTGAGAATAGCCCAAAAACATTCGAAGTGTTTGAGGTATAAAATCCTCTACCATCTCCGTTTTGTCGTTACTATGGTCACTGTGTAGTACGGAAGGCAACGAAGATCGAGAGACTTCCAGGGGACCCCGCCCACTTCCGGTGTAAAGCGGAAGTGTCACTTCTCCGTTAACAACAACAGCGCGTTTGGCTTTTCTACCTCCCACAACAATAAAAGGGACTTACCTGTTTAAAAAACAACTCGTCGAAACTTTATGTGAGCGTGGGAAAAACACGCAGGTGTTGAGGTTGCACCGTGGGCAGCCATGCTGTCAGACACTGGTTAGTTTTTTATTAATTTGTGTGCTTACGTGCTGCTGCTAATGCTACGTGCTAAACGTGACAGTTTTGACAGTGATTGTTGGGTTTAAAGGGCTCCATAACTCCCCGCGTTTTTAATACCAGCTCTGAGTTTACACAGAGGCTGAATCGAGTTCTAGAAATACACAATAATTTCCAATATTTCTGCAACTTATGTATTTGGTTGAAATTATTTTTACACAGTTTTGTTGTCTTTTTGTTTTGGATTCGTCGCAGATACACTGTTAGTAGACTGTAGATATTTCTTTTATTCTGTCAGGGCAGGACATTTTAGAGAACTATTCAATCAATAAAGCACATGAACGTATTTTCGATTTGTTTTATTATACTATGATTGTAATAATGTGACTTTATATAGGGGCATTTGCCCAAGTTTATTATAATGACTAAATAAAAAAAAATTCTACAGCATTTTCTATAAATACAATGCCAGTCCAACGTTAGTGGTTAGATCTGTCTGTCCATGTTTTCTCATCAATTTATCATAAATCATATCATGTTGGTCAGCTATGTTTACAAAATACATTTAAAATCTGTAACGTGGATTTCAAAGACAGTGTTTTTTTTCTGTCATATCATGGGATTTTCCACCTTCTATGGCCTTGTCACCTGGACATTTTTAAATAAATACATTTTGTTTATGTTTAGATTATTCGGGGAACACCTCTGCCGCTCGAAAAGCCAAGAGAAGAAACTCTGGAGAATCACCAGGTGAAGGCCAGGCCCTACGCTCCTCTGGTCGACAGCCTAACGTTCGAGTGAAGCGCAGCAACAACCCTCCACCTGGACAGGTAAACCTGCGTCCTCCAGGCCAGTCATGGTAATACACAGTTATGGTGAATACGGTGGTGAATAATATGGTGAATCAACTGTTACTGTGAATATGATTACCTACCAGCCTTGGTGTAAACTCTATCGCCACTTTCTTCCAGAGCAAGAGAAAAGCAACGGACACAGAGGAGGAAGACGAACAGTCGGAGAAAAAGTACAGGAAGTGTGAGAAAGCCGGATGCTCCGCCACATACCCTGTGTGTTTTGCGAGCGCGTCTGAAAGGTAGCTTCACGCCTCAGCTAATGATCTGCAGCGCATCTTTGTAGCGCTGACTAACTCCCCCGTCCCCCTTCTCTCTCTCAGGTGTGCTAAAAATGGCTACACGTCTCGATGGTATCATCTCTCCTGTGGTGAACACTTCTGCAATGAATGCTTCGACCACTACTACAGAAGGTACTGACGTTTTTAAGTGAGAACTCTAACATAATGTGAATCTGTGAATCATCCAAATGTCCCACTTATGATGATGTGAAATTTGAAAGTATAATCCACTCATCATCCACTGCTTCATTTTGGGTTTGACTGTGCTAGTCACAAGGACGGCTACGAGATGTTTGCATCCTGGAAGAAATTGTGGACAAGCAATGGTAAAAGTGAGCCCAGCCTCAAAGCGTTCATGGCGGATCAGCAGCTGCCCTTCTGGGTAGGAGTGAGCAGACATTATGGTTCCTTTAGTTTCAGTAAACCACCGGGGTTATCAACACACACCCTGTCATCCACGTCCTCAGGTTCAATGCACCAAACCGGAGTGTAGGAAGTGGCGTCAGCTGACCAAGGAGATCCAACTCACCGCATCTCTGGCAGCAACGTATCGCTGCGGCATGAAATTCAACAACATTAAGGTAAAGATGTGAAAATGAAAATTGGATTGTGAGACTTTTTGTGCTGATTTTTGTTTGTTTGTTTGTAGAGTGAGGGGCCAGACCACTGCTCCCAACCAGAAGATCTGGTGAGCTTCTGTTTTTTTCTGTGGTCTGATACATTGACTAAATAAGAATCTGAATCATGGGGATCAAACTCTTTAAACATTTTCTTTCTCACAGAGAGTGGCTGAAGTGACTGACAGCTGGTGGCATTCAATGCTGATCCTGCCGCCGCTCTTCAAAGACAGTCCAGCCGGCCCCTTCCTCGCTGCCTACTACCCTGACTGTGTGGGGATGAGTCCTTCAGGCTCCATCAGCCACGTCTCCCAAACTGATCTGAGGGCAGATCACAGAACTGTACAGCCCCAAAGTAAGTCTGTGAGTACAGATGGGACTGCAGAAACACGTATGGATGATATTAAAATGTAATCATTAAATAAAGGAGACTGAAATATACAAAAATGTTATTACAGAAACATTAACAACATCTTAGACGAGAGGTCAAATGTTTTCAAGAAACTAAGAAAGTCTAGATTGACAGAAAATTACATACAATTGACCGAAAGATCACTACAAATGTTTATAAAAATGTAATATTTTTTGGATTTTTTTTATTTTAAGATATGGTCATGCTGTTTAAGTATTTGTTACTTATTCATTGTCAAACACATGTAATGTGAATAGTTTTACACATTACAGATTTTTTTAAGAATTTAATCCATGAAGTTTTCATGTTCAGTTCATCAGTCCGACTCTTTCCATCAGTTCCAGGTTTGTGTCCGTACTTCCAGCCTTTCTACCAGCCTAACGAGTGTGGGAAAGCTCTGTGTGTCCGACCAGACATGATGGAGCTGGACGAGCTCTACGAGTTTCCAGAGTTTTCCCGAGATCCCACCATGTACTTGGCTCTGAGAAACCTGATCCTGGCTTCGTGGCACAGGAACTGCAAGGTTGACTCCTGAGGTCCGACAACACGCTGCGTCTCCGTCGACCACAAAGCAATGACTTTTTAATGTTGTGTGTAGGAGATGCTGACTGTGCAGAAGTGTGCGGAGAACGTCATCGTCCGCGGTTTGGTGCGCGTCCGCTGCGTCCAGGAGATGGAGCGTGTGCTGAACTTCATGACCAGGAAGGGTTTGATCAACACTGGAGCGCTGGCCGTCACACAGCCACTTCTCCCTGAGAAATTCTGCACCGTGAGTGTTTTTTTTTTTTTTTGTTTCCTTCTTTCACGGTGAACATTTTTATAAATCAGTGTGAAAAAATAACCAAAAAAAACTATAACATTTCACAGAAAAAGGTGATCGTTGTCGGTGCAGGAGCCTCAGGTCTGGCTGCTGCGCGGCAGCTGCAGAACTTTGGCACTCAGGTTGACAAACTTCTTCATGTTTGTTCTTGTTCTTCCCTGTTTTTTTTTTTTTTTTGGGTGGCATAGTAACATTCTTTGGTTCTGTTCTTTTTCCAGGTGCTGGTACTAGAAGCAAGAGACAGAATCGGAGGACGAGTTTGGGACGATTCGTCTCTGGGCGTCACCGTAGGTCGAGGAGCTCAGATTGTCAACGGCTGCGTGAACAATCCCATCAGCCTCATGTGTGAACAGGTGAGAACTGATGTGGAACCCGCCGCACCCACGCTCCTTTAGTTAGACTTTATTTCACATAGAATCTTCCAGATGATCGACATAATCAATCTTTAGGAACCACATATCTCTATCTGGCGCCTCCTGTGGCAGCCTGTGTTTTCAAATTTCCCCATTGCAGCACTCAGTTATTATTATTGTTATTACTATATAACAGCTCCTCCTCGTGCTCCTGAAGTGTAACTCCCTTCTTTTCTCTTCTGTTACAGATGGGATTCAAGATGCACAAACTGGGGGAGCGCTGTGACCTGTTCCAGGAGGGAGGACAGATCACTGACCCGGCCATCGACAAGCGCATGGACTTCCACTTCAACGCCATCTTGGACGTCGTGTCAGAATGGAGGAAGGACAAGTCGCAGAACCAGGATACACCACTGGGAGGTGCTGGAAGGAGACGCTGCATTTGTTTTCTTTCAGTGTCTTTTAGCAGCACAGATCAATCGATTCCTTTTACAACAGTGATGATGTGTTTGTTTGGTTCCACAGAAAAAGTCCAGGAAGTAAAGAAAAACTTCCTGCAGGAGTCTGGGATCCAGTTCAGTGAGCTGGAGGAGAAGGTTCTTCAGTTTCATCTCAGTAACCTGGAGTTCGCCTGTGGGAGCACTTTGGACCAGGTCTGGGCAAAAACCTTTACCACATTTTAGTCCTGGTAAAATAACATTTTAACATCGAGTATTTGGTTCATTACCAGTTAATTTGAAACATTTAGACTCTGGCGGCCTTGTTTTACAGAACAAGTAACACAAAAACATTATTTAAAATTATTAACATCTGATAAACAATCTGTAAACAACAAAAAGAGATGCAGTGTTTTGGTTTTTTTTGGTTTTCATCCAAAGGTATCAGCCAGATCCTGGGACCACAACGAATGTTTTGCCCAGTTCTCAGGAGACCACACTTTACTCACCAAAGGCTACTGCGTCTTACTCCACAAACTGGCCGACGGCCTGGACATCCGGACCAAGTGTCCGGTTTGTGATGTGTTTTCTTTACACACAGCCTGGAGCTGAAACTAACTGGCAAATTTAACATGATGTAATTTCCCAAATTTTAGGTTCAGTCCATCGACTACTCAGGTGACGTGGTCAAAGTGACCGCCGCTAATGGCTCTCAGTGGACGGCGCAGAAGGTCCGTTCTTCACCGGACATGAAACATAAGTTTTTGTCATTTCTTGTTATAAATACTTCATGTTATCACAGGTTGTTTTTTTAATCTCCTTTTCAGGTTCTGGTTACGGTGCCACTTACTTTACTCCAGAAGAACTTGATTCAGTTCCATCCTCCACTTCCTGAGAGGAAACAGAAAGCGATCCACAGTCTGGGAGCTGGGATCATAGAGAAGGTCATGACTGGAGTTTTTGAGAAATCTTTTTCTGTGAGAGGTTGTTTTCTTATTTGTGTTGAAATATTTTCCTTTTTTCTTTGGCACAGATCGCTCTTCGGTTCCCACACAGATTCTGGGACAAAAAAATCCAAGGGGCCGACTACTTTGGTCACGTCCCACCGAGTCCTGACCAGAGAGGGATGTTCAGTGTCTTCTACGACATGGATCCACAGGTTTGAGTCTCTCTGGTTACTGAGGATAAACGTGTTTTATTATTAGCTACAAAAAAAGATATAAAATTGCCATCGTTCCCCAGGGGAAGCAGGCCGTCCTCATGTCCGTCATCACTGGTGATGCAGTTTACGCTGTCGGAGACATGGAGGACAGGGAGGTGGTGCGCGAGTGTATGACGGTTCTGCGGGAACTTTTCAAGGAGCAGGTAACACTGTGGTTTTCACCAAAGATTAGTGTTTTGGTGAGCGCTTAATGATGTCACGTTACCAATGTATGTCTAATCCTAATCCTTACTTCAACTCGAATCTGACCCTAATCCTAATCTCAAATACTAACTAAATCTTGAACCTCAAAATAGTCTCTCACTCAGTGAAGACCTGCAGTATGTCCCCACAAGGACAACGTGTTTATATTAGGAACCAACACACTGGTGACAAAAGACTGTTTTTCTTTTCCTAGGACGTCCCAGATCCGTTACATTACTTTATCACTCATTGGCGCAAAGACATGTGGTCGCAGATGTCATACAGCTACGTGAAGACAGGGGGCAGTGGAGAGGCTTACGACGTCCTAGCTGAAGACATTCAGGGCAAAGTCTTTTTTGCTGGAGAGGTAAAAACAGATGTGATTTTCTGACAATAATTTGTCAGTGATCAAATGAAAACCTACAACTTTTTTTCTTCTTTTGTCTCTTGATAGAATTACTTTTCATCAGAGTTTGGATGTATTTTTTCTCATTGTTCAGACTTTCTAATCTAATCTCCAACCTCTGTGAGCAGGCCACCAACAGACACTTCCCTCAGACTGTGACAGGAGCCTACCTCAGCGGCGTCAGAGAGGCCAGCAAGATGGCTGCCGTGTAAACATTTAAAACTCACGACCAGAATCACTTCAACACACCAGCATGGACGCACGGCGAGAAAACGGGCCGTTCGTCCGTCTCCAGCCAGTCTGTTTCACCATACGATGCCGCTTCACTGTGACTGCACACTCAATGTTCAATGTTCCATGACACTGAGTGTCTGGTCATCATCAGTCAAGGAGTCGGGTCCAGCTGCCCAGGATGTGACGTCACATATTTAACACAACATTTATTTTATTTACTGTGTCTACTTTTTAGATGAAGAAGAAAGACTCTTAAATCTACAGGAACAGGAAAGGTGTTTTATTTTGAAGTGCATCTGCTGTGCTAAAAAAACAGGATGGAGTTCTGTGTGTGTTCTGATTGGTGTGTTTAGGTTCTCAGGATGGAGTTCTGTGTTCTGATTGGTGTGTTTAGGTTCTGGAAAGAATTTGGTCATACTTTTCAAGTGTTGGTAGTTGAACAGCGGTCATGAATTAGCCTTGTGTTGCATGTGGAAGCATGTTGGTAAATGTAGCGTAGTCCAATGGATGAGAGGTTGAAACTCCTGTTAGCTCTTCTGTGATAGCACTTTGTTTTCATTCAGTTTAACTATTTGTTCTAGAAAAAAAGAATGGCTCGTGTGGGAAGAAGAACATCCTTACTTTGGTCTCGACTGATCAGAAGACCCGATCACAGGTTCTCAGGGATTTGATCACAATTGATCCACAAACAGCATTTAACCAAGGATCGCCGTCAAAGAAAGAAAAAAAAAAACGACACTTAAGTAGAAAAATCTACTTTTTAATTCTATTTATTTGTGAGCATACACACTAAGTCATCACCAGTGTCTTTAATAATGTCGACTAATGATGCTTTCCATGTGGAGTTGGTTTCTTTGTGTGGAAATCAACACTTTTTATTGATCATGTCCTGTGTGTCTGATATGTCAGTGCTTGAGTATTTAAATTCTGTGTGTGTGTAATAAAAAAGAGCAATGAACTGCCAACAGCAGCTCATTGTGTCTGCTGGTTTTTTATTTATTTGTTTTTTTATTTTTATTTTTCTTGCAAACAAAAAGAAAACAACTTATCCCTTTTCTAAAGCGTACAGAGTTTGACATAGTGGTTTATAGTCATTCGTCGTTACAGCAAACATTTTTAAAATCGTACGCGTTTAATATTTCAGTTATGACACATTATTACTTATTTATTATTGTTATAAATTGGCTCCCACAATAATCTACGGTGTATACTGTTTTACTTTCGAGAGTTATTATTATTATTATTATTTTAAATCCATTAAAAATCGCCGTTTAAAAATATAGCTTTACATAAAGTTTTTTTTTCAAACTCACTCAACGTACCAATCACGTTCAGAGACGTCATCATTACGCGTCCTGGCGCCTCCGTCTAATAGGAGACGGAAGAAAACAAATGTGGAGTGAAAAATAATTACATACAGTTCAGGAGAAACTGGTTTTATCTGGTTTACATGATTTTCTGGGGTGATTGATTTTCATTTAATTTTAAATCTCTGTAAACTTTTAACAGAAACTACCGGCAGAAGCATCAGTAAATTGTAAATGAAGTTGGCGCGTTTTGGCTGAGGAGCTAGAGAAAGAAAGAAAAAAAAACTACAGTATGAATACCGTGGATTTGAACTCAAAAGAGCTGCCCTCCGACGAAGCACCTGACTCTAAAGGTACACGATTATCGTCTAATATTTATTGTTTGTCCTAACTTGAGCTGTTATCGTAAGTATGAACTAAATTTCGGAGAAGTTGGTACACATTTCATAAGTTACTCTAATAAACCCGAACCTTCCGTCTTCACATAAATGTTTGGAAAACTGAAACCGTTCATTGCAGCAACTTGGTCACACACATTCAGCAGCTGTTTACATCCTTGATCTCTACACCCAGTAATATTTCAGTAATTTTTTAAAAATGATTCGATCGGTTACGATTATGGTGTTATTATAAAACTATGATACATCCATCTAAACTTATTTTCCAATAAGTATAATAATTCATACTTACTATTAGAATACATAAATTGTTTCCCCTTACATGTGAAATGTGTGTAGGCAGAATAGAAATATGACAGCACATGTTTGTTTCCTGTCGGAAGTATAAATAATCTAGTCCATCTCACATCCTCTCCTTATTCCATTAAAGCTATAATGCTGCCACTCGTCAGATTGTAATAATTGTGGAACTAACCGCTCAAGTTCAGACATGTTTACTCAACCTCTTAACTGATGTGCTTCTGTTACACTCATAATGTTTCCTTAGCACTTAGATTAACTCACCACCTGTGGGTTTAACCAAACAGCTACGTTTTATTTTTGAAATAATTGATTCCTTGATTTTTCTACATTTATTTATAATCGTTCAAGAGACAATAGTGATGCATCACAAGAGTTAATATTACTCTCAGCGTTAATAATATTAGCTTTACTTTTTTTCTCACCTCCCGTTGTAGCCTCCGACGTCTCCTCAGATGACGAGCCGCTGATCTTGCTCAAAGCAAAACTTGAGTCTGCGAAAGAAGACAAAACATCCCCGAGTTTGAGTAGCTCAAGTAGGTAGAAGCAAATGAGTTGAAACATTTTAATCATCGCAAGATTTGTCATCAATTGCTTTTTATTTCTCTTGATCCCAGGTGAAGGCCCCGACGACAAGCCTCAGAAGAAGGTTGCCAAAGTGGCATCCAAAGCTGCGAAGAAGCTGGCATCAGTGCCTTCCAAAAATGAACTTAATAAAAAGAAAAAAAGTGAGAGTGATTTCTGCACCTTACCCTGCATTTTCCTTAGAATACAGTGTTTTTGCTGTAAAGTAATTGTTGTTATTTCACAGAATCGGTGGCGGGAGATGATAGTTCAGAGGACGAACCTCTGAGCAAAATGGCCAAGAAACTTAGATCCAAACATCAGACGAAGGAATCTCCGTGTGATGTGACATCGCCCACAAAATCCAGCCAAGTTGTGAAATCCAGAAGGAATGCAGCAAAGAGAGTGGGTGCGTTTGAGCAATGCTAAGGTAAACACGACTGAAGCTCCATCTCCTAGTTACATGTTCCAACAAGAAGTGTTTGTGTTTCAGAAAATTATAAAGAGTCGTCAAGTGAGAGTTCATACGATACAGCACCGGCAGCTTCCACAGCAACAAAAACACAGGCTGCTTCAACAAGCACCAGAAGAACAAGAGTAAAACCTCCAACCAACCTTTTACAAGGTAAAAACAATGCTAATTATGATAGATAATAGCGTTTTGTTAAAATTATGAATCCTAAATCTAAACTTTACCCTCAGACAGCAGCTCCGACGATGATGAACCATTATCAAACTTCATCGCCAAGAAGAAACCGGTGAGGAAAGATGCAAAGAAGACAACTGTAACAAGAGCCGGTTCTTCCAAAAAGAAACAAGGTTCTTTTTAATTGTCAAAATTAATATTCTGCTGAAATGGACACACATTATTAACACCTTATTCACATTTTTCTTTTTCTTTTTTTTACAGAAGTGACGGAAGAAAGCTCGGATGATGAACCCTTGATTAACCTGGTGAAAAAGAAGAGTCGAGCAGGCAAACAGACAAAGACCAAAACAAAGGCCTCAGCTCCAAAGAAGAAGAACATGGTGTCCAGACCAAGTCAAAACAAGAAAACAAGAAAGACATCAGAGCCAGGTGACACTGACACAAATTTAGAATTTGGTAAAAGAATGCCAGCATTGATTCCAAATGTAGATCCCTCTCTTCCAATGTTAGTATATCCTATCGTTGCTCCTGTGTCGTGATACGTTTTGTAAACCCCCTGTTTCTTGCCAATAAACATCCTGATATTTATTAAGTAAGGTACACGGTATAGATGAAGATATTAAAAAACCTTTAACCAGAATTGGCTAAACTATAAATTTATTTATTTGTATATATACAAATAAATAAACTTTTCAACTGTTTTCAGCCATGTCCAGTGAGGCTTCAGATGAAGAGCCTCCAGATGAAGAGCATCCGATAGACATGGCCAAATATCCCAGTGTGACCAAAGAAGTGAGAGTGAGTCTGGAGAGGTGTGACGCTACAGAGGCTGGAGCAGAGGAACGTCAGAACACAACGACAACAGGTGCTGATCACATGACACAGATGATGATGTTGACGTCATAACATTTCTAACATGCTGTTACTATTGATGATAAACAGAGAACACGGAAGAATCCAAAAGGGCAGAATTGGTGGACTCCTCCTCAGAAGACCCTTGAAGCTCTGACAGTTTGGACAAATGGTTCCGCGGTTTTGTACTAGTACTTCATCTGCCTCCTGGTCTGCATCCTCACATCCAGGCCTTTCAGCCTCTGGATTGTATTTAGAGACCAGTGAATGGCTCCTTGTTTGAAGGACGATAAAAAATGTACAACGTGTTCCTCGTTTCTGGTCGGTGTTCATTAGTTGTTCACACTTATTCTGTGTTTTATATTTTTCATACAATATGACCATTAAGTGCGTTGTGTTTTCCAGTTGAATGTATGGGTATTCATTGTACAAAAAAAGATGTGCACTGTCTTTTATTGTTTTTTTTTTATTACTTGTGCCTCTAGTGTTTCATTTGGCTCAAATATGTGTTTGTTTGTTTTTTTATTTTTCTTTGTTATTGGTGTAAGTTTATTTCTTGCATGAATTTAGTCTTGTATGCAACAGTGAAAAAAGAACTGCGAGTCTTATGTTGGATTAAACATTTTGTGGTGTGAAACTCCTCTTTCTATTCGTTTTCATGGCTCTGGTGTTTGATATGTGTTAATATTAATATTATTAAGATACATTTGGTTAATAATTCAAAAACATTTAATTATTCATTTCTATTTAGCCTTATTATTCACTGCTCACGGTAATTTTTAATGTTTTTTTAAATTTTTTACCGCGTCGATGACTTCGGCAAATTCCGCCGTGTTTCGGTCAAAACCGTCACTTCCATCCGGCGGAGGGATGTACACCGCTGTTCACTCCTACACAGTTCGTTCAGGACTACTGTAACTGAACAGAGTCACGGAGCTGGAGATGATTTAACAGTAGTTTTTAAAAAAGTTCAACCAGAGCTGAGAAGACCGTCACTAGGCCCGTGTCGTCTTCACCTGACAGGCACAGTTCATTACATTTTTGGGCATCTTTTTTATTTTTTTTTTGCGGGTGGTTTAGCTGCGTGCTAGTTAGTTAGCATGCTGTTTCTGTTTCGATACAGCATACAACCACAACTACGTCTTCGAGCTTTAACCTCGTCATGACTGAACTAAGATGTAGGAAAACTGAGACTTTGGATGGAAATAGTGATGAAGAAGGAGAAAGAGGAGTGCAAGAGGGCGGACCAACTGAGGAGGTGCAGCAGACTGAGGGTAAGCAGAGCTAATTTAGCACTTTGCTAACCGAGCAGCAGGATTTATGTCCGTGTTGCTAAGTCATTGTAAAAAAGTTCCGCAAAGTTTTTTAATCAGAGAGATGTTTTGCAATTTTTTAAGATTCTTGACGTATATTAATACTTGAACGCATTGCTGTAACTTAATAGCAAAGTCTGTGTCACTTTAATGGTTTATGATAATGTTGTAAACAATGAAGTGCCTATGAATAATTCACTTTTATTTTAATGTTAATGTCTTATTTCACACCGGGTCACGTGTTTCAAATGCGGTAGTGGTTTGAGAACTGTCCTGGATGTTAGAGGAAGTTAAGTTCAATATAATATTTAATCATTTTACGTGTCCATTTTTGTCTGTTCATTATTCTGACTATTCTATGTCTTTGTCATATTTCATATGGTTTTGGCATTGATTGTGTCACAGATCCCGTAGCAGGTCCGTCCGAGCCACTGACCGAGTCCAGCTGTGCAGAAGCTGAAAACTTGGTTCAGGAAGATGGAGGTGAAAAGGAGGAGGATGACCCCAAACAAGAGGAGTCAAACGGAACGTCTGTCAAAGCCCCCCAGATTTCTCTTCCTCCATGTAAGTTAATCTCAGCTATATGTTTATCCGTTATCTGTTTGTGGTGTTTTTTTTGTTAGTCCTGAAAATAAACCTTATGTGTGGGTTTTTTAGTTAGTCCTGAAAATAAACCTTATGTGTGTAATATTGTATTTTTTATATGATCTATTTTTTTTAGCATTATCTAGACGTACTCATGTTTGTATTTCTGCCTCCCAGCAAGTTTTCTGCAGCATCTGGTCAGAGTGTTTTTTGGATGTTTGGCAGCTGTTTCCTGCGGTATGCTCTACGCTGTGTATCTGTCGACGTATCATGACAGGAAGTTCTGGTTCTCAAAAAGGCAGGTGTGCGACTGGTTTTTGAACCTTATACCCACTTCACATCCACCTCACTGTCCTGCCACGTTATTCAGTGTAAAACATGAATGTTATGTCATTTCTGTCAGGAGCTCGAGCGTGAAATCACCTTCCAGGAAGGCAGCGGCCTCTATTACTACTACTACAAACGCATGCTGGCAGCGCCCTCCTTTGAAAGAGGTATGGCTGTTGTTTCAGTTCTTCATTGTGGAAATACATTGTAGAAGAAAGAGGAAATACTAGGGATTTTCTGTTGACAAGTGAAAAGGTGTTTAACAACATTCCCACTGTGGACACTGTTCTTTCTTTTATTTCCTTGTCAAACCAAGATGAAAAGAAATAAAGGACTGTTCTTATGTGGAAAAAGTTTGTTTGTAGTTCGGCTACAAATACTTGTATTGTAACCTTCAGGATTTAAACTGGTTTAACTGTCAGGAACTGTCTCTTTTCTGTGGTTTGGTTTGCCTCAGGTTTTTACGAGCTGATGGTAGATAACAGGACTCTTTCCGGTGAAACCATCAACGCCGTGGAGCGTCTGTCTCTGTATCCAGAGATAATAACCAGCTTTGTGTACAGAGTCACAGGGAGCCAGGTCTGTTTTATTATTATTATTATTATTTTCATTTTTAATCTATTTATCAAGTGTAGATTTGAAACATGTCAAAAACTCGAATACTCACAAATCCAATAATAAAATTAAAACTGGGTTTAAAAAAAGCACATTTTTTCATTAATTATCATTAAACATGTAATTATTTTGCAGAATATGACTCCGGATAACCTTGGATTTTACCCCTCAGTGCTTTGTTCCAAATTAAAATATAGTCTCTTCATAAAAAAACATTTATTCTTTCATCAAACCAATGACTTTTTATCTGTTTTTTTTTAGGACTTTGTAGAACCCATTTACTTCTACATGGGAGCAGTTTTCGGCCTTCAGGCCGTCTGTGTCACCGCGCTGTTTGTGTGCAGCTGGGTGATGAGTGGAAGGTGGTTGGCCGGCATGTTAGCTGTGGCCTGGTACGTGATCAACAGGTGAGGGAGGATTGGTGCTGTTGAAAATGTGCCTCGTCGTAAAGCATCAGTTTGTCTCATGGTCTTTAATCTAACACGTCGACACTTTGATACTTCTGTGTCTCTCACAGACCGGACACGACCAAAGTGGACCTAGCGATTCCTCTGAGGGAAAACTGGGCTCTGCCGTACTTCTCCTGCCAGGTGGCAGCTCTGACCGGGTTCCTGAGCAACAACATTTCCTCTGCCACTGAGGTCGGTTTTCATTTTCTGCTGATTCATTTCCTCCTGACTGTTCAAGCTCACACAGTCACTCACTGATGGACACTGACTCTCTCTCTCTCTCTCTCTCTGTCCGTAGATGTTCTGCTTTCTGGCCATGAGCGCCACCACCTTCACCTTCCTCCTGCTCTGGGAACACAGCCATTATGTGCTCTTCGTCCAAGGCCTCTGTCTCTTCCTGCTCGACTCCTTTGACCTGGTGCCGAGTCGTAAGGCAAGACCATGAACTTGACTTGGACTAGATAGATAACCAGGTTTCATATTAACCAGTCTTACCAGTCCTTGACAAACATAAACTCTGTTTTTTTTCTCCCCCTCCTTGTGTCCTCGACACCTACAGATGGCTGACATCCACAAAGTTTACCTCAGCTCCCTGTTCCTGGCCTATCTGTTCCAATTTCAGAACCCGGCCCTGCTTAGCTCACCACTGCTCAGCCTCCTGATTGGCTCAGTGCTCGTGAGGTACTTCCAGGTAGAATTAGCAACACCTTTTTTTTTAATTAATTAATTAATTAATTTTCAAACTTTGTTCTTTAGAATATCGGAGTCTAAGAGTTTTCTCTTTATCGGTTTTTATTGCAGCAAAAGATGAAAATAGGCCCTCTGGTGGCCAGAGTCATGAAGCTCTTCCTTCATTTTCATCTGGTCTTTTATACAGCGATCACCTTCAGTTACTTGGTTAAGGTACGGTTTCAAAAAGACCCAGACTTTTCTCTCTGTCTGTAAACAAAGAAACACTTTGGATTAATGACGGCGTTCTTCTCATTCACAGAAACTTGTTCCTGCCGGTGATGCTGAATTCATACTGAAGTTCCTGGAAGTGAAATTTTTGCTCAACACAACAACGTGAGTTGCAGAGCTTTCTACTGGAAAACAGACTGTATTTAAAATAATCTTAAGGTGCTATTTAAAAGATTTTTGACAAACAATGATGTTTGTCTCACAGTGGACACAGAATGTTTTGGACTAAAAGAAATTCCACATTTGGGATCATTAACAGTGGAAACAGTGGATTTATATCCTGTTCCCTCAGCCATGTTTCTCTGAGGTTAAATATCTGAGGCTGGTTTCTGGCCCCTGGTAAAAACCCTGGACAGACCCTTTAAAGTCTATGTTGTGTTGTTGTGTTTGTTTCTTTGTCTTCAGTGACTTTGTGACCAACCTCCTCCTGTGCCAGGATGGATTCCAGAAACCTGGACAGGACTTCTTCCTGAGACTGACCCAGACTTCAGTCCTTCCTTTTTACTTCCTGGTTCTGACTGTGTGTCTGCTGTCCACCAGTCAGACCATCTACAGGAAACTCAGGTCTGCTGCTGGTGCCACGCTCTCACACATTTATGGATGTTATTTTTTTTGTTACTAATTTACCCTAATACCATTAATGAAAGAGTTTGACTCCATTTCAGTGGTAAGCCAATGAAAACCAGCCGTCGACAGGAAGACGGACGAATAGGAGAGAAGCCCGAGGTCAACTACCACGTCTTTCACATGCTGCTCTTTGGGGGTCTGACGATGCTCTTTGATGGGTGAGGTCTTTAAGTTAATTACAGTTACTACATTTTACTAAATCGAACAGTAATCATTTTTATTGTTTGATCTAATATCTTTTATTTTTTGCTTTTTTTGTATCGATGCAGGATGAAGTATTTGTGGACGCCGTACGTCTGCATGTTCACAGCCTTCGGCATCTGTTCTCCAGACCTGTGGATGACTGTGTTCCGGTGGCTCAAACTGAGGTCCATGAACCCTGTGGTACTGGTGAGAGTCTGCAGACACTCGCTACTGTTTCATTTACTTTTTCAAATACAAATAAATCATAAAAAAAAAATTAAAATATTATAATCTTTATTTTTCCATATTCTGATCCTCAGCACAGCTGTTCCGACCATCATTGGTTTCAGTTTATGGAGGGAGGTGAGAACGATTCTCTCACATTAGTTAATAAAATTCATATATTAATTATTAAGGCTCAACTGCTCCGATGCTGAGCCAGTAAGATGTTTTTCATCTCTCCTCTCCTCTCGTCTCAGTACTGCCCTCGAGTCTTGACTGAACTGTCTGATCTGCCAGAGTTCTACGATCCAGATACAGTGGAGCTGATCAGCTGGATCAGGTAAAGGAAATGTGACCCCACCCCCTGGTGGAATGTTGCGGTAAAACAGATCATAATGATGGTGTCTTTTTATACTTTTGGTCGTTGGAATCATCAGGAATGTTCTTCCTGTTCCAGGTCCAACGCTCCAGCGATGGCAGTGTTTGCAGGAAGTCCACAGCTGCTGGGAACAGTGAAGCTTTGTTCAAGTTCAGTCGTGACCAGTTTACCACTGTACTCAGACATTAATCTGCTGAAGCGGAATGAAGATGTGAGTGAAGTGTTAATAAAGAAATCCCCACAGTACTTAGATGAAATAACGTGATATTTTTGCGCTTCAAATTAAAGTTCTCTCTGTTTTTTCTCCTCTGTAGACGTACCAGGTTTATGCCTTGAGATCCGCCGAGGAGATCTATAAGATCCTGACGTCTCAGAAGGCCAACTACATCATCATCGAGGAGTCCATCTGTACTGAGTTTAAAGGCTGCAGCATCAAAGACATGCTGGACATTTCTAATGGACATGTGAGTTTGGTTCCTTCCTACGACAGTGATAACAGAGGTTATCAGTAACTAATCCTCTTTTAATTTATGGTTTTAAAAACTGAAAAGATTCTGAAAACATATTTGGCCATAATAAAAATTAGTAGTTAGTGTAATTACATGGAGTAAAACAATTACCTCTGTACCTCTTGTTCTCCTGCAGGTCATCTACGACAAAGGAGAAATTTACTCCTTTTCCAAACACGGACGATTCTGCCACAAAATCAAGATGAACTACTCTCCTTATACCAACTACTTCACCAGAGTGTTCTGGAACCGATCGTACCACGTGTACAAAGTCAACTCTGTCATCTCTTTTCAATACTGACGGCAGTTCTGTCCTGGCTGCTGACAACGATCCCTGAGGCAGAGCTGACGTCCTCAAAGTCCAGTCACTGGGCTCCAGGTCTGAAACGACGTCCAGGCGTTGTGGAGGCACACAGTTGGAAATACTCACCAGGTTTTCTGGTTCAGAGTTTGTTTTTTATCAGGGACAAATTATGGAGAGAACAAGAGAAGAAGTCGAACACTATTTAGGACGTTGTACATCTGTTAGAAAACAAAAATACTGCTGACACTTATAAATACAACAACACCAACAACTGCCAGGATAATAGACGTCTCTCTGAGAGACCCTGTCTTAAACAGGAGCCGCAGTCTGGAGTGGACGGAGAGGATTAGGACTGAGCAGATCAGAGGAAGAGCCAATAATATCAGCTGACAGATATTATTATTATAATATCGGTAACAATTGTTATTGTGTTTTTTCTCCGATAATGAAAACCCGATAACGCAATGCCTGGATTTTGCCAAATATGCTGTATTTCCTTGTAGTGTCCTGAGATGTTTATCTCAGGGGCAAACACCTGCATATATTGGTATCGGTTTACCATCTTCAGAAGTGTTCGGACTATATCAGCATACCGGCAAAAAGTTAGTCTTGGACATCCCTACTGTATTATTTATTTCCAGGTTCTAAGGTAGCAGTAAGACAACAACAATAGACGACAATGTCATAGTGAGGTCATCTTTTATTTGTGGCATTTTATTTCCTGCAGATGGCAGTCTGAACTGCAGGAAGCCTTTTATAATTACAGTTTCCTCGCCTATGAAGAAAAATGAGTTTGCAATAACTCAAACAGACTCCGATTCTTCACACTTTCAGAATATTAGTTATCAGATATTTAGTCGTAGGTATTTGAAAAGTACCTATTAAGAATATTTGACAAGAATAAGATCACAAATAATCAGTATTTAGTTACTGAGTATTTACTGAGACGTTGCTTTACTTTCAATTTCTGCTCTAAAACCTATGCAGTGTGTGATCTGTGTTTTTAGATTCTCATTCCTGCAGGTCACAGCGTCATTTCTTATTCTAGAGGCTTCTAGAAGTTGAAATTAAACCTTCACATCCAAACAAACAAGCCACTGAGCGGATGTTCTATGGCTGTGTCTGGATGCCTTGAGTTCATAAGATGGAACTGATGTGTTTCACTTTAGAAACTTTTTTAAAAAGGTTTTTTAAGATTTTTGTTTTCCTCCCATCCTGGTTGTAACTTGAAATATTCACCAGTTCATTCTGGCGCTGTTGTTTAACCTTCACCACTAACTTCTCCTCTGTGAATATGAACAATATGTTTTATTATGTTACTGAAGCCAATCAAATGAGTGTATGAGTTGATAATAAATGTATTGCTCAACTTTGTACATGTGTTTTATCCATGTTGTATTTCTTTAACTTAACAAAATGCACAATATGCAGTGATGATCACATTTCTGATGTGGCTTCAGGGTCAGTCATTCACTGCTGAATAATGCTTGATACAAAATGAAAAGTAAAATGGGTTAAAACCAACTAAATAAAAAAAATGAAAAAATATCAGAATTGTTCTTATTTTGTCTTTAAAGGTCAATGATGTGCTGATTAGCTCTGAATTGAATCATTAATCCGCATTAATTCTGTTAAATTTTAATGTCATTGCTAAACTTTATAATTTTTTCTATTATTGAACCCTTTGTAATTCCTTCATTTAAAAAATAAGGTTTTTATAACGAAAGGTATAGTTTATTCTTATATATTTTTCTTTATATAATTCGACGTATGCTAACAAAATATAAACATTTTAATATTAATATTATTATATAACATTTTAAAAAATTATTTTGGACGCAGAGTATAAATATGCGTAAATACAGCGCAAGACTGTGTTAATCGCCCGCGACGCACCGGAACCGGAAGTGCATCTCAAAGCGATGGCGAATCGCAGAATGAAATATGTGAGAACTCAACAGTCTGTGTCGCTGTTCGACCCTATTTATGTAGTTATTTTTGTCCAGTTTTAATACTTTTATCAGCAGTTTTTATTTCGGTATTTTAAGGTAAGATAGACCGCCTCTGTATGCGTAGAAAGGCTGAGAAAATGAGCAGTTTAGCTGTAGCATAAGTTACAGACTGAGGATGAGCGAAAACGGTGCGCTGGATTTAGACACAACAACATCCCTAATTGGCTATTTCGTTTATTCTTTCTGAGGAAAGCTCAAGTCTCCGCCCACACAAATTACACTTTTATAAAATTATCATTTCATAGAAGTTTATTTGACACACACTAACTTGTTTAAATGCACAAAAATATATACAGCATATCATCGGGCATTTTGTCTATTACGAAAAGGCAATTAATACTGTAGTCAAGTAATTTATTATGTGGAAGTTTGTTAGAGCTTATAAACTACTAGTAACTTACCCACCAAATAATTGTTGGTGAATAAATTGAATATAAATTTGTTAGTTTGGCACAGGAAATGTTACTTTCAAAGACGCTGTTTGTTGCCGCCATTTCTTTTATAGTTTACTACAATAAATAATTATTAGAAATACACAGTTTATCAATATCATATCCACATAAACATTATCAAAATAAGTGTTATAATAAACTAACTCTGCCACGACTTTTAACACTGATAGACGTTCTAGCCTTGGTTTGAAACGTGATTTTTACTCAATTTAAGTCCAATGTCAAGCTCTGTTAAAAATGTGTTTTTATGATTTAAAAAAAAAAAAAAAAAATGTATCTCCTTGTTCCGCAGGGCAGGATGAGTGCTGAGGCTGCAGACCGGGTGGCAATTGTGGCCAGCGGTCGTCCCAGCACGCCTCTGCAAACGTCATGGTTTGAATTCCTTCTAGACAGTAGTCTGCTGGAGACACACCTGCAGAAGGCAAACCCAGGTTTGTGTCAACATGAAATGGTGTCTAATGGTATTAAAAATGTAATGTTAAAGTGCTGCTTTGATGGAATGATTTTTTTTTAACTAAATCTGTCTCCACAGACCCTCTCCCAGTGCAGCTGATTGTTCAGTTCCTGGAGCAGGCGTCTAAGCCCTCGTTGAATGAGCAGAACCAGGTTCAGCCTCCAGCGGACAACTGCAGGAACAGAACCCTGAAGCTGCTGGCCCTGAAAGTAGCAGCTCATATGAAGTGGGATCTGGAAGTGCTGGAAAAAGGGTCAGTGTGTGGCCTGTTTTGAACTTTATTTATGAACTGAAGTAACATTTCTGTTCTGACTCGCTCTTTCTCCTGCAGCTTGACCATTCCAGTGTTGAACATGTTATTGAATGAGCTGCTCTGTGTGAGCAAAGTTCCTCCAGGTGTGAAACATGTGGACCTGGATCTGTCCACTCTCCCTCCCACCACCGCCATGGCTGTCATCATCTACAACCGCTGGTAAAATAAACCCCAAAGAAACGACTGAAAAATAAAAAACTTTGTTGATGTCCCTGTGAGGTGCACTCATGCTTTTTATGTCCATTTCTCACCTTTACTTTTCCATTAGGCTCTTCACATTTACAGAATACTTTTAACAACGCAAAGATAAACGTGACATTAACATATAATTTTTTTTATACTTCCTAAAAGGGCCATCAGAACGATTGTGTTGAGCAGTTTCCCAGAGAAACAGACCAAACCTGGACCTCACCAGATGAACATGTATGTTCTGCTTTGATCAGTTTCCAGCATGTGTATGAACCCAAATATATTGCATTGAGTTTCACAAAAAAAGTTTTTCCTTTTTTTTATCCTTCTGGTTTCATCTAGTCTGAATATTGTACAGCAGGAGAAAGAAATGACAGACAACATTCTTGCTGTGGTGAGTGATTTTTTTTATAATCCATACAAATGTAACCAGAATGAAGGAGGGTTGTTGACATGACTTTTTGATGGTTTTTATATTTTCAGTTGAAGGAGCAGGCCACCGACTCCATCAGTGTCCTGGAGGGAGCTCTTTGTCTGAAGAAAGACTTTTACATTCACACCCTCAGGACTCTGGACCTGTTGGCTGCTGACGCTGCTGCAAACGGAGAGACCGAGGCTTCGACTGCGGGGCTGTGCATCAGCACCGAGGAGCTGCACTGTCAGGTGGGAGGAGGAGGAATCAAAGTTATTTAAAAAAAATAGTGCTATTATTCATCATTGTTGGATGTCTTTAGGCACAGTCTGTCACTTAGATATACGTTTATCTTTTAAAATCTTTTCAACTGCATTTCAGGTGCATTATGATTTGGGAGGTATTTTCTTCCAGCGAGGCTGCACTGACCAGCCGTCCTTCATGAAAGCTAAAGAGCATTTCAGACAGACGGTGGAGCTTCTAAAAAAGGTACATTTTACTTTAATAGATGCATCTTCTTCTTCTTTTTTTTCCCTTTTTTGCCACAGCGAATCATTGATTTCCATCTCTCCTCCTCTGCATCTTCTACTCTGACTCCAATAAATAATAAAATATTATTATACTGCATATTTATTGTCTGTACTCTGAGTGGGTTTGTGTTTTTATTTTGTCCACAGCTGGACTCAGCTGTTCACGTCCACCTGGACGAGAAGCGACTGGCAGGATACTGGAACGCCTGCAAAGCTCTGACCGGAGACTGTGATCCGTCTGATTCCCAGACATCACCATATGATCAGATCAACAGTCTGATCAGGGCACGCAACTACAAGGTCAGAGCAAACGCTAAGAAACTAGTGTTGTCCGATGTTAGCTTTTTGCCGATTACACCTGTGTATGATGTGTGTACGACTTTTTCCAGGCCGTCATCGAAGCCTTCATCAAAGACAACGTGACCCGCAGTTTACCAAACCACTTCAGGAGGTCTGTCCTCAGAGAGTTCCTGTACAACGTCCAACAAGGGTGAGATCAGAGTGTAAAATGTTCTGACATATAAAACACCATCCTCTGGTACAGTTCCATTGTAACTCATGAGGATATTTTTCTTCTGCCCCTCTGCAGTGAAACCGGCCTGGATGAGTTTTGCCACAAGCTGTGCGTCTGTAACGCCGTCCGTGACGCTCTAGAGGGAGAAGTTCACAGCGTTCGCTTCCAACAGCTGCTGCTCCGACCCAGCAGACGGATGGTGGACTTTATTTTAGAGGTAAATTTGCAATCGTTAAATCAACGACAAAATCATAAAGTCATGGTGAATGTACGGTAACTCTTGGACATCTGGGTTTATACTCTTTTTGTCCTGCAGGTGGCCACACGTTCACTGGAGAAGGACCGTACGTCTGAGACGGCCAGAAGGAACATGGCCGGTTTTATGAAGTAAGTGATGAAAATTTGTCAACTGTAAAGACTGTGGTCTGCCACCAATAAGGTCTTGAAGTGGACCTTGAAAGTGCTTGAACACTGAGATTCTTCAGCATCTCCTCCAGTTAAACGTCAATAAACCGACCCGGTGTTTTCTCCGGTCCAGGACTCTGGGTGAAAGTTTTGAAGACCTCTCCATGGTCTTCGTGGTCTCCTCTCACAAGCTGTTCGTGGAGCTGCTGAGGGAGGAGGAGAGGAACGTCCTGGTGGAGCAGATGAAGAAGAGGTCGGCCACCATCAACCTCAGCACCAAACCTCTGCCGTCGTTCTACGACATTCCAGGTGCGTTCACAAGGTTCCTCTGTCCTCGTCCTCTGCCTCAGTGGAGAACCTGTTTCTTTACACTTCCGTCCGTCTGCTCTGCTCCTCCACAGCTTCTCCGACCGTCAACATCGGACAGTTGGAGCAGCAGCTCATCCTGTCACTGGATCCACGCAAGATCAGACAGATTCTTATTGAGCTTCATGGCATGGCTGAAAGACCTTTCTGGAAGGTCAACAGCAAGGTGGAGAAACTGGGAAAAACAATGATGTCATGATGTTTCACAAGTGTTCTCATTTTGGCTGTGATTATTTTGTTGTTGTTGTTTTTCTTCTCAGTGGGAGGTCCCTCCAGACTACATCAATGTGATCCTGAGTATTAAAGACAACCTGACCAAAGACCTGGTCTACATCCTGATGGCCAAAGGACTTCACTGCATCTCCATAAAGGTCGTTAGGTCACCGCCGTCACTCACCGCGTAAAGACGTTTGAGAGCTCAGGGTTTGAAACCTCCGTTCATGTTTTCTTGTCCTGTCAGGACTTTGTCCACGCACGGCAGCTTTTCTCCGCCTGCCTGGAGCTGGTGACGGAGTTCTCGCCCAAACTGAGGCAGGTGATGCTGAACGAGATGCTGCTGCTGGAGGTGAGAGCCCACGAGACCATGGCAGCAGAGGGCAGCAAAGAGAGGCCGCCGCCCGATCTGGTCAGCAGAGTCCGAGGTTACCTGGAGATGAGGATCCACGGTCAGGCTGTTCTCCAGGAAGAACCACAGGAAGTGAAGGAGAACTGGAGGTGTCGCAGGTGGAACTGATCACATTTCTCTCCCCAGATCTGCCGCTGCGTCAGGTGGTCGGAGAGGAGTGCGTCGCCTTCATGTTGAACTGGAGAGAGAACGACTATCTGACCCTGCAGGTGCCGCCCTCTCTGGTCATGAACAACCCCTACATCAAGGTGAGACCTGCTGTGACCTCCTGACGATGACTTCACACTATTAATTAATTGATTATTGATGATGAGTGAAAACGTCCCGTCCAGGTGGGTCAGCTCCTGGCCTCCACCTGCAAAGAGCTGCCCGGTCCCAAGGAGAGTCGACGCACGGCCAAGGAGCTGTGGGAGGTGGTGGTCCAGATCTGCAGCGTGTCCATGCAGCACAAGAGGAACAACGACGGCCGAGTGGGCCTCATCAAACACAGAGACTCGTCTCTGGGCATCCTGCCCAGGTACGCATTCCACACTGTTTCCACCTTTATCACTAAGGACTCGACTCTTTATTCTGATTTTGTTGTTGTTTTTGTTTTGTTTTTCAAGGAGCAAATTCATCACTTTCATCAAGAAACTTCGAGTAAGTCCAGAATATTAAAACTTCAAGGGTGGAATTACAGTAGGGAACAAAACATCAACAC